TATATGTGTATATGTGTGTGTGTGTGTGTGTGTGTGTGTGTGTGTGTGTGTGTGTGTGTGTGTGTGTGTGTGTGTGTGTGTGTGTGTGAGTTTGGGCTCACAATATATAGCATCTTGCATATCAAAAATCAAAACTCTGAAAAACAGAAGCAGAGAAATTAATAGCATCCATAACTGAATATTAATGCCTAATCATCAAGAGTTTTAGTGTAAATGACGTTGAATTCATGATCTAACTTTCAACTAGCCTTTATAATTTGCTATCAAATCATGTCCAGTTACAATTATAAATTATAATAAAGAAATAATTATTAGAAAAGGCATGCAGCTTGCGACTCTGGGCTTTTTTACAACAACAAAAAACACGTGCATATGCATTGTAGATAATACAAGCTACTCTCTGATAAACATTTCACACTGACTCTGACCCGCTAAGTCATTTTTGTGAAATAATTACTGTGTTCACTCATTTGCAACTAAGGTCATTCAATTGAAATGTGTTTTGGTGAAATTGATGAAAGGGTCCATTTTTAATGTTTGTTTAATTGGAAAGTTGGCATATCTGTTGCTGAGAGTTCAAGGTAGTTCAGAGTCTGAATATTATTAGAGTTTAACTTTCATAAGGTAAAGCTTTCATTAGTTTTCTTTTCCAGTGTGTACTTTGTGTCACTGATTTCCTCTACAGAGACACTGATGGCTTTAATGCTCCCTGACAGCATGACTGTTCTGTAATATCAAAATGTATTATTGAAAATCCGAATTACATAGAAAACAACAGCCAACCAAAGTTAACCCTTTTCAAAAGATTGACCACGTTTGAACACCTAGAGACAAGGCAGTTCAACTGAGAAGGAAAAGAAATAGCTCATAATTATAAAAAAAAATCACTGTATATCATTTGTATGTATTGGTGGGTGATCTTGCTGAGAGTTGATGAACAGGTTTTGAGAGAAGGTAATCTGGTTAGGGGTGATCTGGTGGCTCTGCTGTTTTATAGTCAGTACTAGATAATCCACATAGGGCATGATAATGTTGGTCGCCATCTGCTGCGTTTACTGACACAATAACAAGAGGGCACTGTTATACAGTATTTCAGTGCTTCAGAATTTCTATTGCATCTCAGAGAGAATGCCTTTAACTATGTCACAGTCACTTCAAGACTCATAACATACACATGAGCACTTTCACTATTAAACTGTAGCTTTTCCCTTTAAACAAACGACATGGTATTTTCAAATGCTACTTTTATTTTTTACAGTACATATGGGATTTCAGTAATTCATTCTTTTAACATGAATTAGGATTTGTCTACAAATATATATTACTACTGTTCTAAATTTTGGGTTAGTAAGATTTATTTAGCAAGTATGCATTAAATTGATCAAAAATTACATTAAAGACTTACATTGTTACAGAAGATTTCTGTTTCAAATAAAAGCTGTTCTTTTGGACTTTTTATTTATCAAGGAATACTGGAAAAAATGTATCATGGTTTCCACAAAAATCTTACTGACCCCATACTATATATAGACACATCATAGTTTACTGTCTTTACTAAAACTAATTCTGGTTCTACAAACACATAATATGTTCACACATTGCAAATATGCATTTTAATGCATATTTTGATATTCTTTGTCACCTGGGTTTTCATGGTAATCTTATTATGGATTATACTAATTGATCATGTATGAGGAAAACCAAAAGAAAAAAAAATCAACTAAAACTCCATGGTAAACCTGAACTCTAAATCTAAATGTATAAATCATCATATGCACCATATTAACACTGCATATTAATCCTGGTTGCACACAAGTGTAGGTTTCTAGTTTATCGCAATTTACTAGTTTCTTTAGTCACAGACAAGATTACTAAAAGGGATAATCTGCAAGTGAATGATACGTGTATGTGTTGAGTCTTTGAGCTGGACCTGATGCCCCTTGTGCTGAGTAATGGATTCCCAAAGGGTAAATTTAGCTCCTTGTGAGACATTGGTATTTCATAAAGGTGCTTCATGTGGAGAATAGAGATATGTGGCTTCTCAGACAGCTGTACATGTTTATGATGAGTGAGCTGGACCAACAAGGCTCCAAATGAGAAGCTTATGAGAAACTGAACTGCCATGTAGTTTCAGTATGGTTTGATAAATTGATAGCTTCTTCATTGTGAATCTTCTAATAAAAAGTCAGAATTTCTATAACAAAGAGATGTTCGTGTGCAGTAAACTGTGCACACAAGCTTGCCCATTCAGATGCTTTTAAAAGAAAAACAGGCTGAGAACAAGCCAGAACAAGGGTTTGGTACTCTTTTAGCTTGTTCTCTGTTTCTCCACATTCCATTTCATTCTGTGTGCAGGTGTGGGACCAAAAAGGCAAAGGTTAAAGGTCATCAGTGATGGTGGATCATGACATTGCCCTCATCGGATAGGTGAGCTGAGCCACCTGATGCACAGTGGAGATCTTCCTCACTGCCTTCTTAAACATCACCTTTGTGTCTGTAAGACAGAAAAACAAAGAAGGAACATCAGCCTCAGTTTGTCTAATACATCAACATATGACATCACACGTTTTTCACTTGTCTGTCAAATACTTTTACAAAAAAACTACAGAAAGTAGAAAGTATTTTTAGGAATACATTAATACCAACTTCATTCAACTGTTATATATAATTTGTTTAGGATAAAAAAAAACATTTACATTGTCACTTGGAAAAGCAAAACTTGTGAAAAAATAAATATATATATATATATATATATATACACACACTTCAATTCAAAAGTTTACACCCCTGGCTCTTAATGCATCGTGTTTCCTTCTGAAGCATCAGTGAGCACTTTTTGAACTTTTGCCATCTGGTCGGCGTTACAGAGCACCGAATACCAGGACAGCCAGGCACAAGAACAGTTTCTTTCCCCAGGCAATCTACCTCATGAACAGTTAATGTTCTCCCATTGTGCAATTAAAGTACAGTATGTGCAATAACCTTATAATTATATATCACCCTAAACCCTAGTACATCCCTACAACTTATTTTATTTTATTCTATTCCTATTCCATCTATAGCACACCTGTACATACAATTTATTCTTTTTTTGTGGTTTATATTTATGCATGTGTATTTTATTCACATCTCACTTTTATTATCTGTGTGTTGTTGTTGTCTCCGTGTACTGGAAGCTTGTGACACTATAACAAATTCCTTGTATGTGCAAACATACTTGGCAATAAAGCTCTTTCTGATTCTGAGTCTGATTCATTTGAACCTTTTGTAATAGTAGCGTATGAGTCCCTCAGTTGTCCTCAGTGTGAAAAGATGGATCTCAAAATCATACAGTCAGTATTGGAAAGGGTTCAAATGTGCAAAAGATGCTGGAAAATAACATGGATTTGTATGATCCCTCTTATTTTGGTAAAATAAATAACATTATGCAGATACTGTAAAATATATGTGTGTGTGTGTGTGTGTGTGTGTATATATATAGTTTGTTTTGGTCTATGTTAAGACATGACATGTGAAACACTGAGAACAAACAAGACATTCAGAGCATGACAGAACACACAAACAGAAACATAACAGCATGCCAAACATAGATGACGGTCCATTTTGAAAAGCTGGCTATCCATTTATGAGGAGTGCCATCCAATCTGAAAGGAGAGAGCTTTTATAACCACTATCTTAAGCAAGTCACACATTTTCAAGACCAAAAATATCTGAGGTTGTACAAAGTTACCATAAATTATGACATCATCAAATCATGC